TATTTACAATAGCCAAGAAATGGAAGCAACCTAAGTGTCCATCAATAGATGAATGGATAAAGAAGATGTGGTACATATACACAATGGAATATTATTCAGCCATAAGAAGAAAACAAATCCTACCATTTGCAACAACATGGATGGAGCTAGAGGGTATTATGCTCAGTGAAATAAGCCAGGAGGAGAGAGACAAGTACCAAATGATTTCACTCATCTGTGGAGTATAAGAATAAAGAAAAAACTGAAGGAACAAAACAGTAGCAGACTCACAGAACCCAAGAATGGACTAACAGTTAGCAAAGGGAAAGGGACTGGGGAGGATGGGTCGGAAGGGAGTGATAAGGGTGGGGAAAAAGAAAGGGGGCATTACAATTAGCATGTGTAATGTGGTGGTGGGGGTACATGGAGGGCTGTGCAACACAGAGAAGACAAGTAGGGATTCTGCAGCATCTTACTACGCTGCTGGACAGTGACTGTAATGGGGTTTGTTGGGGGGATGTGGTGAAGGGGGAGCCTAGTAAACATAATGTTCTTCATGTAATTGTAGATTAATGATACCAAAAAAAAGGGTTAATTTTATGTTATATGAATTTCACCTCAATAAGATTAAAAAAAAAACACCCTAGAGTCTCTTTCTTATTGAGGAGCATAATTTTACCATGTGATTTAGTCCTTTGGGTAGTGAAGCCTCCAGCACCTGGGGCTGATCTTTTCTTCCCCAGAGAACCCCCTTGAGAATTCTAGGATGGGAAGGAAGGAAACACCAGTATGACTCAGAGAGTGGGCACTGGAGTCAGGCTGCCTGAGTTATTCCAGGCACCCCCATGCCCTCATCTCTTAAATGGAGATGATGTACCAACCTCATGGGGTTGCTGTGAGGACAGAACAAAAGCATGCATGTAAAGCATCAGGGCACATATCATGTCTATTCACTAACAGGACTGTTAGAGCAGGACACCCTCTCCTGTCATCCATGCCACAAACCCTTTTTGAGTACCTACTACATGCCAAGCACTCTTCTGGGCCTTGGGGATTCATTTGTAAGTAAGAACAATAAACGTCCTTTCTTCTTGGAGCTCACATTCCAATTGGGACTAGAAAGACAAAGTAAGCAAAATATATAGTATGTTAGATGTGACATATGGTAGGGAGAAAAAAATAAGGAGTGAGGACTAGGAAGTTTTGGGAGAAGGTTCCAATTTTAAACTGGGTGGTGGTCAGAGGCAGCTTCCCTGCATGACCTGAGGAAAGGAAAGGGTACTCACTCATACCCTACTGCTGCTGTCACATGTGACCACAAACAGTGGCTTAAAACAATGCAGAGGTCTTTATTTTATAATTCTTTATAGTCCAAAATGGGTCTCCCTGGGCAACAATCAAGGTGCTGGCAGAGCAGTATTCCTTCTGGGGGCTCCAGGGAGGACCTATCCCCTGGCCTTTTCCAGCTTTTAAAGGCACCTGCTTACTCCAACTTCTGCTTCTATCTTCACAGCTTCTTCTCTGTCTTTCCTGCCTCCCTCTTTTCCTTATTAGGATCTTTGTGATTAGAGGGCCCACCTCCCACCTGGATAATCCAGAAAAACCGCCCCATCTCAAGATCTTTAATCATACCTGTAAAGTCTCTTTTGCCATGTAAGGTTACATAGTCACAGGTCCCAGGGATTAGGACCTGGACTGGGATCTTTGGAGGGATGATTGTTCTCTACCACTTGAGGTATAGTATCTTTAGGAAGTGGGAATAGCAAGTTCAAAGGCCCTGAGGCAGGGGTTGCCTGGCATGTTTGAGGA